ACAAACTGTATTTTCCTTTATCAATAATCTATTTAGGGCAGTAGTACCAATATTGATATCAAAACTGTCAGGCCATGCCCCATTTCATGGAGGATGACAGAGTAAACTGATGTATTTTATGCGATATTATACATGAGAGAGACTAAAATTGTTTATACAACTTTTCAGTAAAATCAGACGTTTTGATTGGTTGGCTTTCGTGTGTTATCAATGTATAGATACACGGATTACGTCAAAACTAATTRTTTGTTGTATAAAACAGATAGATCTCATTTTTCCGTGTGTGTGTACTCTAATAGATACACAGATGACGTCAAAATGTAGTGAGAACAACAGTCACGCACTCGACTGCGTCTCGTGCGAACTTTTTTGTTCTCACTACATTTTGACGTCATCTGTGTATCTATTAGAGTACACACGCACGGAAAAATGAGATCTATTTGTTAAATGAAATACCTATATTTCTCCATTTTGTAAAATTGATATTTTCACTAGTGAAAATATCATATTTGAAGTTTCTGTATATAGTGGAAGTAAGAAAAAAGGTATTGCAACATAATTTGCTTTCATATGTAATTATATGATAAACAGAATATTACATGGTCGCTTGGAGATACGAATTTTATCTTCTCATGTTGAAAATCTCTCACTCGTTCGCTACGCTCACTCGTGAGAGATCTTTTCAACACTCGAAGATAAAATCCGTATCTCCACGCACCCATGTAATATCCTCTTTATCTCCGCGCGCCCATGTAATATCCTCTATGTAATAGTCATATATGAATAATAATATTAAAACACCACAGTTCTATAAAATACTATGCTTTATGTAAGTCATGGTGTTATCTAAACCACTTATAATCTCCTGATAGTTACACTAATACTCCCATAAGGCAATGCGCGAATGGTTTCTATGGCCTCCACATTAGACATATTACGCATACTTTGACCATTCACATCAATAATCTCATCACCAGTCTGTAACTCGCCATTTTTACTAGCAACGCTATCTTTAAAAACGTACTTAACATATATGGGTGTGTCCCCATACAGAGAATCCTTCCCTCCGCCGACACTGAAACCCAAACCAGATGCATTTTTCTCTAGCTTTAAACGCTTAATGATTGGTTCATGTGAAGACTTGTGAAGGATTTCTTTCAATGTCTTGCTATTTCCACCATGTAAAAGTTTCTTTTTGAAGCGGTCGTAGGATGAATTATTTTCCCTTTCAATTCCCAGTGGGATTTTCTCAAGTGAAAGAGAATTCTCATTTGAATTGCTTAGTAAAGTTCGCTTTTTGTGCGAGTCTTCTTTAGTTGGCCATGCATCTGAATCCTGTGTCTTGTTTCCAGATTT